ACAGAACCAGTATGGTTATATTCTCTTAATGTAATAAAAGAGTCCATCTGCCGCCTGAGAAAACATGAATATGAAAATGCATTGAAATTCTTGACTATGGATTGGATATAGACATTGAATTTGAAGAAACACTCAAAAAGCTGACCACTATTTCTTTTTTAGTTTCTTTATTTTTCTTTTCCTTTTTTAACTATAACCTATACTCGTCTGCCGACACAAAACCAAGAAATAACTCTGGGATCTTAACAGATATGATCTTTATCACTGCTGTTCTTCCCACCCTTGGTCCTGACACTTCACTCAGTTTGGTTAAATCAGACTCAGCCTGTCAAAGCATTAAAGAAAACCAAACATAATGCCAGCTCTTATCGTCTCTCATCTCAAGAGGTGAAATGCCAACTCAGAATGCATCACAGGCTGGCTCTAAGCATCAGATGACCTGTCTCAGATGTCCCTGAACGCTCAGTTCTCCTCACCCACTCAGAATGCACTGACTCAACCTGATCAGAGAACATGTGTCATTTACACGGGCTGAGAGAACAGTGTGCCATTTGAAATGGACACACACATGCATACCACTTGTGTTTCTTTGAGCGAAACCTCTAATCCACAGGGCTTGCTGCCTCCCGAAGCAGAATAAAAATGCTGTTATATCATGCTGGTACTTTGTTTATACTTCATTTCAAAGAGCACAAGGCCCTTTGGAAGCCCAGTGGAAAATCAATGGCCAGAATAATGATGCAGGCTTGTGTTGGCTTGGATCTGTGCTTTGCATTCAGTGTCATCCTGAACACAGATTGGATGAGAGACCTCCCTCACCCACATTAAGTAATTTCATTCAGTTACGTTCTTTTTTCCTACTCTCTTCTTCTGTCTCTCCACGTATATCCAGGTAATGATGTTATGGCTAGTTTGTGCACAGAAGCACTAGGGAGGACAAAAAAAGAGCCAATGACATCGAGTTTCATTCATAATTATGTTAATTGTGTAAATAATAAGTTGCTTATTATGTTCAGTGAAAAGGATCTCGATATATATATATATACTATATATATACTGTTATATAATTCAGTAAAAACAGCAAAATTGTGAAATACTATTACTTAAATTACTGTATTCTTTTTTTGCAGTAGCTTAAAGCTCCAGTCCGTAACTTTTTTGGGTTAAAAATTATCTAAAATAATTTTTTGAGCAAGTGCATAACCAGCCAGTGTTCAAAACTATCTGCTTGCCTTAGCTCGAATCAAAGCGGTAAGCTTGTAATAATGTTTTTAATTCCAGTGGTACTGGTGGATTTCCGCGGGAAATTCAAGCATTTATTTGCGTCATTACGTCACATCTGTACACATAAAGAAGAAGTCTCGGCTAGTAGAAGCTATATTGAGTCATTACGTCACAGCTGTACACATAAAGAAGGAGTCTCGGCTAGTAGGCTATATTGAGTCATTACGTCACATCTGTACACATACAGAAGGAGTCTCGGCTAGTAGGCTGTGAGTGTGAGGATGCTGGAGGTGGAGATTTATAGCCTTTTCTCACAGCACTTGATATAATTAAACTTATTAATTTGATGACGGATCCAGAAAGGTTCAAACGACAATCACCAGTGACAACTGGAGACTCACCCGTTGTAAAATGCAAAAGACTTTGGACTTCGGAGTGGCTACAGAAAAAACCGGGCCCATGCGAAAACAAGGATAAATATCTGAAGGGCATTACATGTAGTCACGCAATGGTGATGTTGTTCACATTAACAATTTGAGAACAAAGTATAATTTGCATGGTTTGAACGTGATATGATAAGCGATTGTTAGATTTAATCTGCGCGATTTACTGCAATGCTTTTTTCCCCTTAGTTGGTCAGAACAAAAGTGGATGTTACTTATTTGTTCAGATGACATGAGATGTTGGTCATACTTCCAAAAAGTAGAATCTGTGATTCCGAAAGACAGTATCCGGCGCAGTGACTGACAGCCGCACATTCTCCTCAAAACATTGGATTCATCTGCACTGTGCCGTGCCGAGGCACAACCCACGTAAAGTGGATAATTTCGAGAATAACTGCAATGGCAAATTTCGAACAGAGATGGCGACAAAGAGCAAAAACTACGAACTGCAGCTTTAAAATGTAATTTGAGTGTCTTATGATCCTTCAGAAATCATTATGCTGATTCATGGTGCTGAAGAACACTTCTTTCAATGTTGAAAAATGTGATTTTTCAGGATTTCTTGATAAATAGAAAGTTACAAAGAACCTTTGTTTATTTGAAATATGAATATTTGTAACATTATCCTAAATGTCACTTTTGATCAGTTAAATGTGTCTTTGCTAAATAAAAGTATTACTGAACACAAATTGTTATGAATTTTAGTGTATAATTTTAATATAAATATATGAAAAATATTTTTATAAATACTATATATATATATATTTTATACTAAAATTAGAATAAATTTAAGTTCAAACTGATTGATAGATTTTGCACAAAAAAAATTGCGATTTCAAAAATTGTGAGAGACATTTTCAGATTCACAAACAAATCCAGAATAGACAAGGGGGTTCCCTCCATGTGTAATTATGCCGGAGTGGAAATGTACTTACACTTACGGGAGATATTTGTAAAGCTATGTAAGTACAGAAAAAGAGCGCGTAAGCGATCAATAATTAATTTACTTTCAGCATTCAGGGGCAATTAACAGACTTTTCCCCCCATTACAATCTACAAGGCCACATGCTCTACCCCGTATTCTGACTGACCAGTGTGACAATCACGGATTACCCAACCACGAAATCGATACATTAGGATAGGAACCACTCCACATTTGTGCAATTAAATCACATGGTTCATGTCCTGAAATGCACAAAAGGAATTTGTGGAGGTAAAGAACTTGTGAGCCTTGCAATGGGGAATTTGAACTGCAAAGCATTTTAGACGCGGTTTTGAATGCTATTGTCCTTGATGAACTGAATTTTTGGCTCTTCTAATATTAAACATTATTTAATATTTCACACGTTATGAAGGTTTCATCAAGTGCATTCATATATGTTAAATACATAATATATTAGGAACAAAATTCATTTTTTCAGTTCTGTTTTGAAACTGTCCATTCAGACACATGCTTTGCACATATAAAGCATTGTCTGGGTATTTCTTCCATCTCCTCAATGAAAAGTAGCACAGCTTCTGTGCATGTGCTATAGCCTAACATCAACTTTCAGATGTTGTGTCTCTCAGTCAGCCAAGAAGAGATAAAGTCAAAATTCCAGTCACTGTCAAGTTAGGTGCAGGTATAAAGGCAGGATTTATTCTCTAAAAGGTTTAAGGGAAAGTGTAAAGGTTTTTGTGGTACAAGATATACAACACAAGGTTATAATAAGCTCCACATAAAGTGCGGCACTCCTCTTGATGTAGGGTACTCTCTCTCTCTCTAGCTGTCTAGCGCTCTCTCTCCCTCTTTTTCAGTACACTACTCAAGTTCCCATGCTGGATGCTGACAGTTGCCTGCGGCATTCAAGAAAAACTAAAAAAAAACAAAAAAAAAAACAGGTTGAGAGATTTGGGGGAAACTGACTTCTATTTACAGATATCGCCTTCTAGTGTGTAGACCCAGGAGAGCCAGCAGTTCCCTGATCAGAATCCAAATGTTCCGGTCCCTCACAATCATCACAGCCCCTTCAGAGAAACTGTAATCTACCGCTCAGCTCATCATGTGTCAAGACTGACCTCTGCTGTTACCTCAGTGCATGCATTCATACAGTATATAGGGTTGCATATATATATATATATTATATACACTGTATATACTGTTATATGATAATATTAATCTCTATTTATCCAGAGGTTACTGTATGTCAGTCTTATCCGGTCAGACCACAATGCAGCCCTGAATGTCAGCAGAGATCCTCAACTAGACAGTCGTCTGTGAAGGCCTCGTCGACGTGACAGCCGTCAGCACAGATCCTCAACAAAGACCACAACAACGAGACAGGTCCTTTTCACAGACCCTGTCCTCTACCTGTGTGATTTGAATCCGATCTTCAAGCAAAACGAACTGGATGAATATTCTAATGCTACCAATCCAGAATCTGATTTCTGACTTGTGATGCAGCCTTAATCATAATGACACTGTGTTCGTTTATTGGCCAGAGGAGAACTGGCCCCCAGACTGAGCCTGATTTCTCTCAAGGATTTTTTTTCTCTCCATTTTGTCACCTGATGGAGTTTGGGATCCTTGTCAATGTCACGTTTCTGGGTTGCTTAATATTCACTTAATATTCAACAATATTATTGATTTGACTGCACTACCACATAACTGTTTGTCTGCAGAACTGTTTTATAGATTAATAATTGATGATATTTACAATGGAACTGAATCAACTCTGAACTGACTTCAGCTGAACAATGACACTATTTTCTTTTAGAGATGCTGTATACACCCGAAACGAACTCTGTTCGCATCATTGAATAATTTTCCTGTTATCACTGTAGCTGCTTTGAAATAATCTGTATTTTATTAAGCGCTAGGCCTATATAAATAAAGGTGACTTGACTTGACATGGGTGACGAGTCATTTAGAATCTGAGACGTGCTTCTTCAAAAACTTTTTGTCATCTAGTTGTGTTTATATTTTACAGGCTCTGGAAAGTGAGTTCTAGAAAAGTGATATATGAATGAAACCTACTTTTACATTAAATTAACATCAAACAGTAACAAAAATGTGAAACAAATGTTAGAAATGTAAACAGTAAAAATGTGCCAAAACTATTAGATCAGAATAATTAATTTAACATATGCCCTAAATGAGAAAAAAAATGCATGTATAAGTCTTAAAAATAAACATAAACATTTGAAATGTGTGCTATTGTAATATGTTAACTTTTTTCTAAAGAATGTTGTAAACCGTAAGTTTTGCTTTTACTTGACACGAACGCCCCTATCGTCCAAACATGGTCATGACTTCCTTGTTCACGACAGTCTGTGAGCCGGTTTTCACTTACGGCAGGCAGTGTGGCAGAAGGCACATGTGTTTCCAGAGTCAACAGCGTGCTCATTGTTAGTCCAACCGGGCACATTTAAAGGTAAATTGTGCTTTTCACTTTTCAGTGCACGTTTTAGAATAACATGTTTATGTAGAATACCGACTGGTGTTATTTGTCTATAATATTTTTGCAATCGGGAGGTATTTGATGTGCTAAAAGGCTAACCTCCCTGGTTCACCATGATCGACAGTAACGTTACTCAGTTACAACAACTGTTATTTCTTTCATGTAAGATATGATAATATGATAAGGAAAGTTTTAAAATCTCCAAAATTTGCATCAGGTCTGGATATGTAACGTCAGTCTTTTCCTCCAGGATTTGTCTGGATCATCATGATGATTAAACTTCACGCTGACTTTCTCGTAATTAAATACCACGTTGCCCAATGTAATCAGCGATTCGTTTATGTGTTTTACAGGATCTTTATCATGTCATTCCGCGGGGGTGGTGGTCGAGGTGGGGGTCGTGGCGGTGGTTTTAACAGAGGTGGTGGTCGTGGAGGTGGATTCGGAGGTGGTCGTGGAGGTGGATTCGGAGGGGGTCGTGGAGGTGGATTTGGAGGGGGTCGTGGAGGTGGAGGTCGAGGTGGATTTAACAGATATCAAGACTTTGGTCCACCGGAATATGTTATCGGTAAGGTATATTTGCTTTCTTTCATCCCTCTGTTTGTTTGCATTCTCTTGCGACTGCTTGTCTCATGCTATACATTGTATTTATGCTCCTCGTGTCTCAGCTGTGGGAGAGTTCCTGCACCCTTGTGAGGATGAAATTGTCTGTAAATGTGTGACGGAGGAAAACAAAGTCCCCTACTTCAACGCTCCTATATATCTGGAAAACAAAGAACAGATTGGAAAAGTGGACGAGATCTTTGGGCAGATTCGTGATTTTGTATCCTTACATGTTTTTGCATGTGATGTTAACAGTGCTGTTAAATTTTACAGCGACTTCAAAACTTAATAGTGATAGTTAGGTGAAGTGTTCTTGTACAATTAAAACTATAAATCCAGACAGCAACATAGTGTCGGCCCACATCTACTCTCGTGTAGTGGAAATCGTACAAGATGAGAGCCACTATGTTGCTATCTTGGAAAGCCTACTGTATTGTATTTGACACATGAATGTCTAAGGCCAATTATTATCAACATGATCAAAACCTTGCTGAGAAACTGTTGCACACAATTGATAGGTTATGTGTGTGCATATATATATACCACGTATATGTATATATATTATATTATATTAGCAAGTAAAAAGCCTTTTAGTATAAATGTTAAAAAATGTGGTACACTTGTGTTTGCTGTCAAAATTATTTTTTTTTTCTAAAGGTTTAATACATTTCCACTAAAATATGATTTTTCTGAATGTTATTTCATATGTCAGGCTTTACAGGATTAATGAGCTAAATTGTTTCCTTAACACATTCCTCAGTATTTTTCAGTCAAACTTTCTGAAAATATGAAGGCATCCTCCTTCAAAAAGTTACAGAAGGTAAGCTCAGTCTTTTATTTTTCTGGATGTGTAATGTTTTTGAACCCTATTTTTATGGTACTTTTTAACTTTATTTATATATATATATATATATATATATATACATATACATATACACACACACGCACAACACTGTTGTAATCAAAATTATTCAACCCCCAATGCAAATCAGGTTTATTGGCATAATTTACAGACTTTCAGCTGTTTGCAATAAACAAATCAAACAAGAGTAATTGAAAAGCTCAACACAACAAATGTTTCAATCGCTTTCCCAAAATTCAACTGAAAATTTGACTTTTAATGACTTTTACAGTCTCAAAATTATTCAACCCCTTTATGGTGAGCATATTTAGGCTACTACTTAGTACAGCAGTTCCCAAACTTTTTTTCCTGCACACCCCCTTCTATGTCCCAACCGGGTTGGCGCACCCCCAATCCCCACTTAAAAAAAAACCCGCAACAAAGCTTTGTTTTATCGCCATATAAAGACTCATGTTTAATCATGCTCAAATTACCAGAACACGCATGACAATAACAACATCAACAAAATTTCAATATAATGCAACAAAGCTACTCACAAGCTTCCACTTTTAACCCTTTCACATGTAAGTTTAAAATATTTTAACTGACTCCCCAGCGTGAGTTTTTCCAAGGCGACCGTTATTTAGAACTTGTCACTTTAATGTTTCCATGGTGATGCGTCATTGCTTGTCACGTGACACAGCGCAACCACAACAGATCTGCTTTTATCTCATTTTTCCTTTTGTCAAAAATATTCACAAATGTATTAGCTGTAGCATAAAACACTGATTCCGATTGTCAAATATGTGTAAGTCGATGTGTTTTGTTGTTTAAACACCTTCATAACGATCGCGTTAGTTGAGCTGTATGCGCGATGGGCGGCGCCATGTTAGTGTGTTTCACAGTTCAGAGAATCGGATCTGTTGGATTTACAGCACGTCAATTCCTCCACTTCTCACGAAATACATGAAAGTAAGAGGCCGGTGAACTGGATGAAGAATAGGGTTAAATGTGAAGCTACTTACACAATGTGTATCTGATATGAATAATACGTGTCGTCTTATTATAATGAAAAAGATTATTATTGCTGCTTTCATAGAAATCAGCAAAATCAAAATCATTGTTTTGCTAGTACTTATGTGTATTTACATGTCTGAAATCTAAAATAAACATTATGTGGTTGAAAACACTCAATAGTTGTGATATATGACAGCACTGGCCCAGCCAACGCGCGAAAGCACATTTGAATTTAGAAGTTGATCACGTGACATATAGCCTAGCAGCTGCAGTGCGTAGAAGACAGCATCTATCAAAAACGAATAAATTATAGTTTTTTTTTATTTAAAATAAAAGCGATTACAAAGGAAATTTTTACTGTTCATGTTTTTTTATTTTATTGTATGGAAAAATCCCACTTAAAAAAACAGACTGCCATTACATTTTTCCTCTCGCGCACCCCCTGGTGGCAGCGGTATGTGTACCACACTTTGGGATTCCCTGACTTAGTAGAACACCCTATTGTTGTTATGACCTGCTGCAAACGAGACGTATAACCAGACACCAGCTTCTGGCAGCATTTCTGTGGAATCGTAGCCCATTCCTCATGAGCAATGGCCTCTAGTTCAGTAATGTTCTTGGGTTTGCGTGCTGCAACCGCATTCTTCAAATCCCACCAGAGATTTTTTATGGGGTTCAAGTCAGGTGATGGCCACTGTAGAATCTCCAGGGCTTCTTCTGCAACCAAGTCTTCATTGTGCTGTTGGAAGGTCCAATCTTCTCTCAACTTTTTGGACCATTCTAGTGACATATTTCTAACATGCAGTCAAATGCAACACTCCACAAACCTAGCCAGTTCAGATATTTCATGTGTTCTAGCACCTGGTGCAGCTAATAAAGGGCTTGATTAGACAACACACATTTTGCAGATTTATGTTGTTGTGGGGGATTCTATTCAGTGGGTTGAATAATTTTGAGTGCAGAAGTCAATAAAAATTGCAATTTTTAACTTTTGGGGAAACCACTTGAAACATTTGCTGTTGAGCTATATATATATATATATATATATATATATATATATATATAGCATGATGTAACACCACATAACTTTTTCCTTTTTAAGCGGTCTTCTCTAATATTTTTTTTAAATACACCCCACTGCTTATCAGTTTTATTTAAAATATTAGACAACAATCAGTGTTCTTTTAGGATTTCCATAATTTAGAAGCGGATATTGCTCCAGAATATCAAAGGGATTCTTATGAGCCTTTAAGCAGTTTTAGCGGCTTCCTTCGGCTGTTCTGCATCTTATCAATACACTAGGATGTGACTAACAGTATTATGATGAAGAATATTTTAATTAACTTTCTCTCCCCTTGCATCAGTTCTACATCGACCCCATGAAGCTCCTGCCCCTCCAGAGATTCCTCCCCAGGCCTCCAGGTGAGAAGGGGCCGCCCCGTGGAGGTAGAGGAGGAGGAAGAGGTGGAAGAGGAGGTAAGACCACACAAGAAAACAATATACATATGCTGATTGGTTCGGTTTTATCATTATCTCTGGTAATAACACCTATTTAATGGACCCAGCAGTGTGTAGCATTCACATTGTGCTCTACACAATGAATCCTAAAACGAGTGTCGTATTTGTAGGAGGCTTCCGTGGAGGTCGTGGAGGATTTGGCGGACGTGGAGGTGGCAGAGGAGGTGGTGGTGGAGGGTTCAGAGGAGGCCGAGGTGGAGGCGGTGGACGTGGATTCAGAGGTAAGTTAGCAATGCTGATCCTCAGAAATTAATAATGAAATTGGATGAAAGTACTTAATTCATGTAAATGGAATATTTTATCCAAAAATGCAAATTCCATCATTTGCTCCCCTTCATGTATTTTCAAACACATTCCTTGGTTACCGTTCAAAAGATTTTAAATAATGTTTTTTAAAAATATCTCATGCTGCACCAATACATGCATATTTGTTCAAAAATAGTACAGTAATATTGTGAAATGATTACAATACAAAACTTTTTTTGTTTTAATATATTTTATAATATAATTCGTTCCTGTGATGTCACATGATCTTTTAGAAATCATTCTAATATGCTGATTTTGTGCTTAAACATTTCTTATTAATTTGATCAATATTGTTCTGCTTAATATTTGTGTGGAAACTGTGATGTATTTATTTTAGCAGTATTCTACAATGAATAGAAAGTTCAATTGAACAATGTATTTGAAATAGGAATGTTTTGTAATTTTGTAAATGTTTTTATGCTGTCACTTTTGATCATTTTATTCATCCTTGCTGAATAATGGTACTTTATAAAATATGAATGCATCTGAGCTGCTCTTTTCCAGTTCCATTGTAGTAGGAGTAACACATCATGTTTTTTCTACTTTCTTTGCAGGTGGAAGATGATGAAGGACTCATAGGGTGGGATCTGTCCTTTCATCTGCTGTGGAAACCTCCGGTGAGAAGCCAGAAGCAGCATTTGGGGCCTTGCCAGAGTCTTTTGACTGTTAATTAATGCCACTCTTGTACAGCTGAACTTTTTGTATTATAAATGTATTTTCTCAGCAGTGGATTTTTTTTATTTGATCTACTGATAGGACTAATGTTTTAAGTTGCCACATGTCTGTGTACAAGAGGACGGGAGTCTCCACAACCTTACGTGGTTGGTTTTCATCCACTTGCGTTTTTACATTCGCTGGAGGTTGGACCAGTATCTGCTTGAACAACGTAACGTAACAGGTTGTGTTATGTAGTGACAAAATGGTGAAGCTAACTCCACAAATAATGATGTAAAACACTTTCATTGTTGGATAATAATGGATGTCTGCATTTACAGAATTGCAAATTGTTTCAGTTGACCTCCAGATGCCACCATGGACTTGCAAAATAAAATCTGTTATGTGCATGACTGTAGTTTTGTTTTTAATTATTTTGTGATGCACCAACATGTTTTCTATTGCTAAAGTGTAGATATTGGGTTGTGACATCTGAATAGGAGAGATTAAGTCTGCAAACCAATCAGAGATTGTTTATTAAAGGCAATGTGTATTGTTATCAAGAGTTAGACTGAGTGTTTAGACAGGGATTTTCCAGATCTTCAGTGTAGAACCAGACAAAAGTGAGAATTGTCTAGATTTTTCTTTGAAAAGCAATACTATGCTGACTACAGCTTAAAGTAACAAATAAAAATGTAAAGAAATTGGAAATGGAAGTAAATGGAAAAGGATTGCCAGAGCTTTATTGTAAAAACAGTGGTGTGTTTTTGGTGACTGTATATTTAAAAGTTCCTAACTGCATATATAATGATATGTGGTGCTGGTATGACGTCAGAACCCGGAAGTATAATTCGCCACTTGTTCCTTTTGTAAGACATTCTGAAAAATCCACCTTTCCTCGCATAAATAAGATTAAACCTCTTCCCTAAGAAAAAAAAAAAACTTGTTTGTGTTTTAGCATACATGTAGGTCCTTGTTGAATAACATTTTCTCCGTAAAGTGTGTAAGCTAATCAGTTTCATATTTACAGTGTAGAAAGCATCTTAAATGCTTTGACAGGCTATTTCTAGTTCGAGTGAATACTGCTCTTTGATTCATTATTTATCAGGTCAAAAAGCGCTGCATGCGCTGAGAAAAACAACGTACTTTGCTCAAGCGTAACCACATCCTGGTCTCTCATTGGTGGAAGAAAGAGTTCTTTAGTTTGCCACACCTCTCCTTCCTTTTCTCTCCCGTGGTGGAATAAAAGCATGGACACAACTGGGAAAGTAAGTTAGCAGCGAAATTTGCCTTCACACTACAGCTACGTAAATTATAAATAGTATACATTTGTGCGCGTTTAATGTACTGTACACACATGTGCAACATTTGTAAAAAAAAACATCGAGTGTCAAGCCAATGCAGTTCAATCAAAAACGCTCTCATATGTAGCAGCACTTGCATGACAGGAGTGCAGATCTAGGTATACAAAGATCCATTGTGCTGCTTTGACCTGTTTTCCGTTGCCCTTGTTTTTTGTATTCAGCTTTGTGACAATGCATGCATAAAAGATCAGAAACATGTTATTCTAATCTTGTTGCATTCAACGGCCCTCCTTCACCACAGATTCTACTTTTACAGCATGTGAATAGAGATTCACAATGCTAATTTTTTTTTGCTAAGTTTTTGCTAATTTTGCTATACATAAACTGTATTAAACATAACTTGGTTTTGTGTTTAACTGCATCTGGTCCTGCACACCATCTACATAAAGTCATCTAAAGCAGTGATTTGCATAACCTTAATTTTAGGTGAAAAATAGTTACAGAAGCATCTCTTCTAACAGTGTTTATGAGCTAACAGCTTCTTTGATTCATCCTCAGGTGATCAAATGTAAGGCAGCAGTGGCCTGGGAGGCTGGTAAGCCTCTTTCCATTGAGGAGGTGGAGGTTGCTCCACCTAAAGCCCATGAAGTTCGAGTGAAGGTAAACCATTAATCTGAACATTGTACCTTTTGACAAAAGCAATAGGTTATTTGATGTGCATAGATTGTAGATGACACAGAGTACTTTGGTCCTCCGTAAAATCTTTGTTTTTAAAGTCACCATGAAATCAAAATGGACAATTCTTGTTTTTTTTTTTTTTGGAATATTGCAGTGTTAAGTATAAATGATTTATCCGTGCACGGCATCTTTTTTTTTTAAAGTCATGTGCCCTCATAATCTTTAATAACAAAAACTTCCCCTCCCTCTTGGAACAGCATCTGTTCTCTGATGATGTGTTTACTGGCGTGAGGGAGAGACAACCTGTCACTCCCATGAGATCATAGCAATAGCAAACCACAACCATCCAATCATTGGTTGAAAAGCCGTTTCACTCAGATATACACAAAGGGGAAAAAAGACTATCGCAACATCCGTTTCAGGCTGCCTATAACATTTTAAAATGACATATCGGGACATTATGAGATCTTTGTATAATTGATATAGACAAGATTTCTCTATTTTTCTGGAAGAGAATCAATCAAAACTAACTTTAACTGGAAAATAACTCTATTCTAGAGCTGCCATAAAGCCAAAACAATCTGTTACTTTAATTTATTATTTACCTATTATCACTCTAAAGCCGCTTTGGAACAATCTACATTGTTAAAAGCGCTATATAAATGAAGATGACTTGACTTGACAAGATTTCTCTTTTTAATTGCACCAGCTCTGCTAAAGCTGTAACAAACCGGCTTGCAGCTGCACCCTGTCAAAGCACCATGTTTTCTGACAGATTTACACCGAGCACGTTCAGTTTTGACCCTGCTGTCTTCAGTGTCTTGTGTCATGCATGATTATGTAGAAGTGTTGTGTTTATGATTGTGTTCTTTTTATTACAAATAATTAAGCAATCAACTCATGTATAGAGAAAAATGTATTGTGCTATGAATATTAATAATAATATATATTCAATTCAAATATAATGGTGAGAAGTCTTGTGTGGTTGTGTGTTTCAGATTCATGCTACAGGTGTGTGTCACACTGACGCCTACACCCTGAGTGGAAGTGACCCTGAGGGCTTGTTTCCTGTCATCCTGGGCCATGAGGGGGCAGGCACTGTTGAGAGTGTTGGCGAAGGGGTCACCAAATTCAAACCAGGTGTGTCAAAACGGGCTATTTACCCTCACTTCAGTGACATTTAATGTGTAAAATGTGAGCAATTTTGGAAGATCGGCTGAAATCCTGAAGCTCTTTCACTTTTTGTGAAGGTGATACTGTTATTCCACTGTATGTGCCCCAATGTGGAGAGTGCAAGTTTTGTAAAAATCCTAAAACCAACCTGTGTCAGAAAATCAGGTAATTATGAATCTATTTTCCATCATCATTATCTCCTTTATGAAAATACGCTAGCATTCAAAAGTTTGGGGTCAGCATGATTAATAAAGTGATCAAAAATGACAGTAAAGAGACTTTAAAATATTTTTAAACATGCGGTTCTTTTTAACTTAATTTTATCCATCAAATAATCCTGAAAAAAAGATCACGTTTCCACAAAAATATTAAGCAGCACGACTGTTTTCAACATTGATAAAATGTTTCTTGAGCAGCAGTAATATCATGTGACTCTGAAGACTGGAGTAATGGCTGCATCACGTTTTAAGATATATTAAAATAGAAAAGTTATTTTAAATTGTAATAATATATCATGTCTTGGTAAACATCAGACTTTTGAATGGTTGTGTTGGTCTTGTTATTGTTCATACTAACTGTCATTTGGTTTATAGATGCTCAGTTGTGATGCAATTCTTTTAGGGTGACCCAAGGTCAGGGTCTGATGCCCGATAGCACCTCCAGGTTCAGCTGTAAAGGCAAGCAGCTCTTCCACTTCATGGGTACCAGCACCTTCTCCGAATACACTGTGGTGGCAGAAATCTCTTTGGCCAAAGTGGATGAACATGCCCCCCTGGACAAAGTGTGTCTGCTGGGCTGTGGCATCTCTACTGGATACGGAGCGGCCATCAATACTGCTAAAGTCTGCTTCATTTAATTAATGTGCATGTCTTTATAATTACTAGAATGTTTCCTTCGGTCTTAATGTCACATGGTCAATAGACACATATTCACCCTGGTAGGTTGAAGCCGGCTCTACTTGCGCTGTGTTCGGTTTGGGAGCAGTTGGGCTCGCAGTCATAATGGGCTGCAAGTCAGTCGGTGCCACCAGGATCATTGGCATTGACATCAACCCAGACAAGTTTGAAACTGCCAAGAAGTTCGGAGCCACTGAGTTTGTGAACCCCAAGGACCACAGCAAGCCCATTCAGGAAGTGCTGGTGGAGCTGACAGATGGAGGGGTTGACTACTCCTTCGAATGCATCGGCAATGTTGGCATTATGGTAAACTGCAGAAACAGCAGCTGTTTAGATAGGGATGAACGAAAGCTGACTAATACAGCCATCCAGATGGTTACAGCAGAACTGTAGATCTCCGCTTAGTTGAATTCGTCATTGTTCCTCAAAATATTTGCTGCCATGGTAACTCATAATTAGAGTCCGTATATTTACCACTATTGTGCTTATGTGAAGTGCATAATTGCCCAGTTGTTGTATATGGCTTAGGATGCTCAGGATGACCATTATTATTGTCACTTTTCTTTTGAATTCAGAGAGCTGCTCTTGAGGCTTGTCACAAAGGCTGGGGAACCAGTGTCATCATTGGTGTGGCAGGGGCAGGGCAAGAAATCTCCACCCGCCCTTTCCAGCTGGTCACAGGGCGTACATGGAAAGGCACAGCTTTTGGTGGTGGGTGTATAAAAAAAAAAGAAAAAAAAAGTATTTTTTATTTATTTAAATCATATATTAATTGTGATATGATTTTATATTATTGTTGTATGGATATTTTATTTTAATATAAATGTTATAATTAATATTATATTAATTATTAGATATGATTTTTCTTAGTTTTGTATAATATTATTAATTGAATAATTTTATTTAGTTTTTTATATTGTTACTATTTTATCTTATTTTTTAATAAGATATATAACTTTATTATATATTTTTGTTACCATTTACATTTTCAAATAGCATATGATATATGCTTTTAGCATGTAGCATAAATATAACATATTAGGTAATTAACTTCATAACAGAAGTATTTTCTCTTTGCTTTTAAGGTTGGAAGAGTGTGGAGAGTGTTCCTAAGCTGGTGAATGACTACATGAGTAAGAAGCTGATGGTGGATGAGTTTGTTACTCACACATTGCCCTTTACCCAGATCAATGAGGCCTTTGACCTGATGCATGCTGGGAAGAGGTACATGCCTTATAAAATGCCTGTTTTTATCTGGTGCTGTTTGGTAATATCATATTAATGCAATGTGGGAAACAAACTGATATCTTAATGCAAACTTTTCCCTTGTGCGTCTTCCACAGTATCCGAACCGTCCTGCAGCTTTGAGCCTCGGGTTCAAACGTGAGTCCTGCCATGAAGAAGACATACTAATCATCAACATCCTTGTCTCAATAGTTACAGTGTTGGCTGTTGTTAATGAATGGTTATTTGTGTGTATAGTTCCAGTTACACACTGAATAAATGTACCAAACAGAAAACATTTTGTGCCTCCTCTTTTTTTATTCTATTTTTTATAGTTAAAATGTTGAAATATTAATGGCTTGGCATCAAATTCTATTGTGTAAATCTGCTCTGTTATAAATCTTGAATGTACATTACAACTATATAAAATATCCAAATAAATTATATGATAGATGTATAAAATAAATCAATGTATTCAAAAAGACTTATGTTCATTTTTTTTTTCAAATAATGGTGAAATTCTAATGGCCTCTTCACACCAAACACAATAACTATGAAGATAAAGGAATAGCTTTAGAAAAATTCACATTTGTAACAAATGTGATAAGAATAGCAGAGTTTATGGCACAGAGGAACGATATTGTTGAAAATCACTTTCAGAATGATTTTTTTTTTTTCAGCTAATGGACAATAAAAAAACATTGACAGCCAATCAGAATCCATCCTGCTTTAAAGAGCTGGAAGCCTCAACCATTTAAAGCAGCAGACAACAAATATGCAGGCACTGGACAGGTGTGAATGCTAAAGTTATCCTTATAGTTATCTTCATACTTTTTGTTCTTGGCGTGAACAAGCCTTTAAAGTCGGCATGAAACGGAAGTTGTGATAGTCTTTTCTTCCCTATTGTGACGTATATCCGAGTAAAAGAGAATTGTCCAATTTGATTTCATGGTGACTTTAGATAGGTTACAATTTTCCCTACTTTCAGTTATAGAAAATGTAAAATTACACATTGAAATACATTTATACTTATCAATCTATTATATTGATATACATAAATGAAATAGTTAACTGAAAAACTAGTGTTTGCTCAAGCAATGAATCATAAACAACCATAGCTTTACGGCGGGAGTCCTCTTCTCTCTGTGTCCTCTAGGGGTCACTGTCTAAACGCGTGCTCCTCATTCACTCACATGTGTTCGCTTGAGTTTGGCCAATCAAATGGTGTTTTCACACACGGAAAGACCCTTCACATTTGTAGAAGATGGCGACTGCTGAACCGGTGAGTCAATATAAGTGCCCCTAAAACATTGTGATGATAGTCGTGGTAGTTATTAATATTAAAAACGTGTTTTATTTTGGTCAGTGCTTGTGTAGAGGGATATCTCTTAAAGCAAACAGTCAATTGAGCTCATGTGTCTGACTGTCGCACATATGTGTTTGAAGGATGTTGTGCAAAAGTGTTAAATATTTAATGTTTTTATCTGGAAAGGGGGGCTGTGAGCATATTTGATGTTTTCTGTGTGAATTTAACATGTTGTTAAACCATCTCTGTTTCTGCCATCTAGACTTATGGTTTGCTGATGTGTCACTAAAAATATAGTGTGGTTTGTTTTTAGTCTCTATGGTCAACGCTTCATGTAGCTCAAAAACAGATATTTTATTAAAACAAAATATAAGTAAATAAGTCCAATTGTTAGATGTTTAGTTTTTAAGTTTGTAATGTTTAGAAGGAATTTTAGTCAATGTCAAAATTTATACAGTTAACACAGTTACTTGTTTAGTTACAAGATTATTGGTCTCTCTGTCTTTTTCTTTATAAACATAGATATTTGTTATTGTAAAAATGAAAGGATACTTGAGGCACCATATCCACATACAGCCTTTGGAGAACCTTTATGTAGGCTACATTTTCAAAAAAGGACAGTTTTCTGAAGAAGTTACTGCAAGAACTTTGAAGAATATCCATTATTCTTCCAGGAACCCTGTCAAAAAGGAAAGACTTTGATACACTTTAAATATTATATTTAAGTTATTTGAGTATGCAGCAGGATATTGAAAGGGTGCCTAGAGGTTCTTCAGGAGGTTCTGCCAGGTTCAGAGCCTGAAGAACCAAAAATGGTTTATTCTGTTCAGTCTGTTTATTTTTATAGTGTTAGATATCTTAAACAAGTTTAGTGTTTTGTTAATCCCTAATATTTAAAGATAAATGTATATTGAATATTCGGCTTGTAAATCTTTAGATAAAATAGTGGAACTGTAATAAAAAAAAATATATAATGTAGTGGAAATGTTCTTTGTAGGAAAATTCAACAAATCCACCAAATTCAGAAGAAGAAAAAAACGCTGAAAATACGCAAGAGATTGTGAGTCTGGAAGATTACATTAAACATCCTCTGCAGAACAGGTGAAGTCACCCAGGCCACACACATTTCATGGTTTTTGTGCATTGTAATGCAAAAAAAAATCTGGAAGAGTGATCTATTTTTTGTTTTGTTTTTGGGGGACAGATGGGCTCTTTGGTTCTTTAAAAATGACAAAAGCAAAACATGGCAGGCTAATCTCCGTCTCATCTCAAAGTTTGACACAGTGGAAGACTTCTGGGCGTAAGTATTAACAAGAGGGAATCGAAACGACACGGACAGGATGAATGATTAACCAAAGAAGACCTTTGGTTAAATAAACCGATAGTTAGTTGTAAGCAGCAATGTGGCACTAACGCAGGTTTTGGTGTTCTGTTCCCAGGTTATACAATCACATTCAGTTATCAAGTAACTTAATGTCAGGATGTGACTACTCCCTCTTCAAGGTAAGGCACAGTATTGCATTTTCAAGATATATAGTATTTTGAATCCATCTAAATTGATCCTTTTGCACTTTTCGGAGCAGGATGGCATTGAGCCCATGTGGGAAGATGAGAGAAACAAGCAGGGCGGCCGTTGGCTGATCACCCTGTCCAAACAGCAGCGCAGAGCCGACCTGGACCGCTTCTGGTTGGAGACAGTAAGTCCGCACTCTGTCTAGTCGGTTTAACTGCATTATCTGCAAAATTCATTGTGTGCTAATAGAACCTGAAGGCTTAGATGCTCTCTCTCTCAATTCAGTTTTTTTTTTAATATATATATATATATTTTTAGCTTTTGTGCCTTGTGGGAGAAGCATTTGATGACCACAGTGATGATGTCTGCGGTGCAGTCGTCAACATCCGAACAAAGGGAGACAAAATAGCGATATGGACGACAGACTACGAGAACAAAGATGCTGTTGTACACATAGGGTAAAAAAATAGTTTTGACCAATATGAACACCTAGGTTAAAATTCACCCTATCTATTTTTGAAATGCATGTTATTTCTCTTATTTTTCACCGATTCATCCGTGCATACATTTCATTTCTGACCCTCAAAAGGTCATAACCTCATCTTCAGTTGAAACTGCAGACTTCTCTCTGGTGATGTTTGCAGTACTTCTCCATTCATTTAGTCCGCTTAAATCCCGCCCCTTCAAACTCAAATTCATCTGCCTCCATTCTTAAAGTCGGCATGAAATGGAAGTCTTTTCCTCCGTATTGTGATGTATATCCAAGTGAAATGGCTTTTCAAACAAGAAGAAATGTAAGGCGCAATGTTCCCTCTAAGCTGCGCGCGTGTGCGGTCGCACACTTCTGATGCCTCGGCCGCGCAGAAAAGAATAAAATGCCATGCAGAGGACTGAGGCGAAATGTGTGGGGAAATCCATTTGATTTGTAGTTTAAGTGAGAAATAATTTCAGTGTTCTGGTCAACTGCTATAGAGTGAAAACTGGTGAATGCAGTTTACAGGTTTCATAGAAAGAGAATGATGTGAGCACGTGTGATTGGCAGTGAGTCGTGTGTGCGGACCAAATAGCTCTATACGAGAGGCAACGACGAGAAACGCAGTGTCATGTTTTAAAGAAGAGTGGTTTGATTAAAGTGGTGGAAATAACGGATGATGGACACAAAACGGTAACAATTACACACCCACCCGTGTGCAAACTCAAAATACATCATTAGTTTAAATAGATGTTTTTGTGTGTGTGTTTCAGGCATGGTTAGATTACTATAAAAAAGTTCACATATTCACTTTTATTGAAAATGTTTAGCTATTAGATCTTTTTAAATAATAATATAATATGTAAACAAATTGAAGCATTTAAACGGATATATTATATCACTTCAAATACTTCAATTCGGGTTTTTTATATTATATTATATTAGGCCTATATTTTATTATATTATAAGCCTAAATAAAGAAATCTCACAAGGGTATTGTTTAGGGCTCCTTGCCATTAATAAGTTTGAAACCCCCTGCTAAAGAAAATATTGGAAATTCATAAGCAGTAAACAATCATTTAACTTTGTTCCTGTGCACAATTAATTGACTGTACAAAAACACTTTATGGTTTTCCCAAACCATCTCAGTGTAACAGCTTAATTTTCTTTCAAACTATGTTATTGTAAAGAATTGAACTGTCCTGCAGAAGATTTTTTTTCTATTTTTCATAGGATTTCTTGGTAAAGACTGTACAGTTAACAGCACTGTAAAACAAATCTCAGGTAACCTAAAATGTTCTTCATTTAGTGACTTCTTAATTAACTGCTTGTTTTTCAAAAGTATGATTTAATACCAATAAGTTACATCAAGGGTCAAATAAAATAGAAATGGCACATTCAAGTTAAAAGTTACAACTGAATGTTGAAACCACTGTGTTTCTACGTATGCTGTACAGATCAGGTAAGAATATTTTTGCTCGGGTGGCGAAAAATATCCGCCCAATAGAAAAAAGTTTTGCTCAGCAAGAAAAAAAATTAGAGGGAACATTGGTAGGGCGGGACTTGATTTTGCCCATCGGGAAATGATTGGGTCATTGTGGTTTGTTATTGCAATGACACTGCGGTATTCAATAAAAAAAAACTGTGCATTTTGATTTCATGGTGACTTTTTAAGGGTGTGTTCACACTTGGAAGTTTTGGTTAAATTAAAACAAACTCTGGTGCACAGTTCATTTGAATAAGTGTGAACGCTGCCATCCGAACCCTGTTGCGCACCAAACAAGCGGACGGAGACCCCTGAAAAGGTGGATCTCGGTCTACTTCCAAGTGAAATCTGGTGCGGTTCGACTGAAATATGAACGCAACACGGAACAAAGACATCTAAACGAACCAAAAAGACCAAATGCTGAATCATACCCGTTTTTTCTTGTCATAGGAGCTCAGCAACACCATCATTGCAGCAGATCTTCGTTTGTGTGCAACTGTTTTGACTCACATTTTATAAACTCTTGAGTTCTCACCTGGTCAAAATACCATTATGTACACACCTACAGCAAGCTCATTTAGCCCAGAACACAGCATTGTTTTGGATGTTCGTCAAGCTCTGTCGGAAAAGTTTTTAGGTTTTAGTTTCGGTCTAAAAATTACGGTGTGAACGCCAAGTCAACCAGGACTAAATGTATTATTTTCTTTTTTTGGTCTGGACCAAAAGATCCAAGATAATCGAACTGCAAGTGTGAACACACCCTGAGGGCCATGCCCACATCTCCAAGTCCCCGTCCTACTTTATTTTTTTATTATTATTCTTTTCCAATAATTCGTTGTACTCGGATGTACGTCACCAATATGGAAGAAAAGATCTGCCGCTACTTGTTTAATCGTGACTTTAATCTTTACAAATCTTTTCATTTGTGGTTATAAAGTAGACACACATTATTATGTCTTGCCTTCATCTGTAAATTTCTAAATTTTTATCTGTTTATTCACAGGCGTGTGTACAAGGAAAGATTAGGTGTGCCACCAAAGGTCATCATTGGATTCCAGTCACATGCTGACACGGCCACCAAAAGTGGTTCCACCACCAAGAATATGTTTGTTGCTTAAGGAGCCTTTTAAACAGTGGGTATTTTTTGATAGAGTCTAGATATTAGCAAGATTGTTCATGCTATAATTTCATTTCAGATGCTGCAACAACAGTCTGAATCTTGTATCATATTCAAATCTTCATTGAAAGAGACAGAAAAATTAAAACAAAACTGTCCTGGGATCTGACCTTTTCACAGAATGCTGTGGGGGAAACACTAGAAAATTAAAGGCCTTCAGATATTTACAAAACAACAGTGTATAAACACAGAGCCACGTTCTTTTAAAAAAAATGTTACTACATACTATTAGCAGATATTTCGCTGGTGGGGATGGGAAGTGTATTCAATTTATGAATGTTTTTCTTTCATATTCTGTTCGCCTTTTTATGTTGAGTTGCAGTTACTAAATCTTAAGTGTAATTTATTTATATTTTTTTACTCAATCCATTTGTTTCTGCTCTGGGTTTAGTGTTCGAGTGATGTGGACTGATCATGATATTTCTAATTACACTATTAAAACAATTCTTGTATTGCAGCTTGAGAATGTCAACGGTTAATTCTGTTTAAAGACTTGTATAAATTTGTATTTTTGCAGTCTTGTTCTACATTCCTCATGTAAAGTGTTCCAAGGCAGTATTGAGAAAACTGATCTCCAGTTCTAACGTTTTCCTAAGGGGTTTCATTGAGTAGCCTGATAAAAAAATAAATATATAGAAACCCCTTTCTTGAAAATGGGTGCTTATGAAAATGTATGGAAATTGACTGTAAATAAAATGTACAGTGCATTGTCTATATCCAGTGAAGAGCCACTGAAATGCATATGTTGATGATAAATAAACAATCCTTTCTGAGATTCTTGAAATGTGGGAACCATTTTCTCATTACAGGAGGTTAGAATTTTGTAACCATTTTAGCTAAATGTATGCCCTTCCCTTTGCTCATGAATACTTTTTTTTTTCTGTCTATACAATTAAGCAGTATGAATAACTTAAACTATGATGGAAAAAGCCTTATCAATTTTGCAAGAACAACATTGACGTTTGTGATTAAAAATAATTCTAGTAATTAAAAGAAATCAATGCATTATTTGGAATGGGAAATAATTGAGCAAAATTGCTTTAATGCTGTGTTTGTTAAAGAATACCATTCACACTGTGATGTACATTAATGCCAGGTTGTACAAGCCCATTTCCAGAAAAGTTTTTTGTAACATTGGATATCCTTTTGTTTGTTTGTTGTACTTTAGTCTGTTAAATAAAGGTTAAAGAGAATCCCAATAAAATGTCCCCCAACTTTTCTGGAAATGGGATTGTATGTCAGATCTAAATGTATTTACTCATGACCAGAGCAATACTTTGGGCGAATAAAACAAAACAATTTGTGCCACTTAAATGTTTGACATCCTTACTCTTTCAACTAGTCTTGAGGCCAGTTTCTGATACCAGTTTGATCTGGTTGGCCTACAGACTGGGTTGGATCTTCCTCCACACGCTCAAGATGATGATCCAAAGTACTTTCAGATAACACAGATGGTGTCCTGCTCCGGGCATGTCTGGGTCCATCCTCCTGGAAATGTGATAGGCCTTTGGTATGATAACTTGGGCTGTGGCTGGCAGAGGACAGGGTTCTCTGGCTCCCATTTAGGTAACTACCATAGTTCACAGAGTCCTTTGAGTCCTGCCGTGAGTAGAAGGAGTTGATGTGTGAGCCCTGATAGTTGTACGCTCTCCAACCTGGCCGTCTCCTGCGGTGACATCTGCATTTCAGTATGCGGATGAAAGCTAGCTTGAACTCCCGGCTGTAGCAGGGATAGATGATGGGATTTAGGCAGCTGTTGAAGTAACCAAGCCAGAAGATGATTTTGAAGACAGTTTCAGGTGGCCTCAGGCTGGCGTTGAATGCGACTGCAAAGAGAAAGCACACCGGTAAAGGTAAAGCTATTGTCATTAAATGAGCCATATGACATGAGTTATTCACATTACAAACTAGTATCACATTGCACTTGGAATCATGTTAAGAATTTGAAAATGACACAATTTTCAGAGAAAGCATAAGCCATGAAGTGAATTTCAGAGAAAACTTGTCAATTTTTGGTCATGCTGTGTGAGTGGGATTAGTTTTGTTCTCTCTCTCATTTAACACATGACTGGTGTGCCCCCTGCTGGCACAATTTGTGACTGTTCGTGATTATTCCCCCTGCCATACAACTGTTTGTTTGTTTTAAAGATGTGTTATTTGCTTTAGCATCCAGCAGGTGGCAGCAACGCTTGCTTAGCAAAATTGTCCGCTTTCAAGATGGTATGAAACTAAAAATGTGTCATTGACAATAAACTTAATGGCAGATGTGCATAGCATTTATAAAGAAGGAAGTTATCATACAACAAAGTTTAAACAAATGAATATATTGTGTTTACTCTTTGATGTGAACTTGGAAGAAAGGGCACGTGGTGCATTAGACACTGGTTAAACATATCAATCAGCAGTAGTTTGGATGATCAAGCTTATGTTTTTAGGACACATAGAACTAAGTGAATAAAGATAACATGCTACTGAAGTGTTCTTTTACATTATAATTTATAAAACACTAACACAACTCTGTGATTTAGGTAACATTTCAACTTTTGTAAATGTTTATGTGAATTTCTGAAAATTGAAATTAAATGAAATTTACTTTAGGGATAAGAAAGAAAGAAAGAAAGAAAGAAAGAAAGAAAGAAAGAAAGAAAGAAAGAAAGAAAGAAAGAAAGAAAGAAAGAAAGAAAGAAAGAAAGAAAGAAAGAAAGAAAGAAAGAAAATAGTGATTATCTATAAGTAGAGTAAGATAAAACCACCTTAGCTCCATCATCTCATAACCCTTGTTGAAATATGAATGTGTGAAAGATGTGTATCTGCTGAACCAGTTGTGAGTTGATAACCTGAATATGAAAAGCTTCATCTGTTTATCACAAAACCAACATTTAGCAAGATTTGTAGAAAAGGTGTATTTTTCAATTTTCCCAACTTTAAATTTCAGTGGTAGAGCCGTAGATCTGTGCCATGAACTGCTTTAGGCTGAGATCCCTGGTGTGTAAACCGGAAGCACCTCTATGCTGCAGTGCACCTCATGACCAGTGCATTGACCCACTGCATTCAAAGCACCATGGGAACCATGAGACTTGGCTGAAATAATGATTCCATGAATGAAGGCCAAGAGAGTATAAGTGAGATCTAGGCTTCATCCCTTAAAGGAATCATGAATGGACTTTAAATAGAGCTTAATTAATGTTACACAGCAAAGCAGCTCACTTAAATAATAAATACTCTCATTATGATAACCGCTCTTGAAAAAACCTCTTCTAGAATGTAACTGTTCTAGAACAATAGGATTCAGAGGAAGCAAACAAGTTGATTACTGTCCACATCCTTGCATCCTGTTTTTGTACAACTTGTATGCAGTCAAGTGGCTCGCTTTTCTTTCATTGTCTAGTTTGACAGGTTAGGAAACTTATCAAAGATTTATGTAACAAGACTCATAAACCCTGTTAGCATGTGCATATCATGTGTTCAGCAATGAATGAGCCAAAATTATGAGCAGATCTTCTTAAGCTTAATACCTATATCAGTATCCCACTTACACGGTTACTTACCAACTAAAAATTTGAAATGAAATTCTTTTAAAGATTCAAAGTTTTAAAGAGTTTTCATTTAAACACAAAGTGACCTTGTCTAAATTAACTTGAAACATTGTATCATGATGTGTTCATGTTAATATGACCTCTGTATCTACAGTAATACACTGTAAGGATCCAGTAAACACGCTACTGTTTTCCACTTAAGTTAAATTCAAAGAAAAGCACTGTTGCCTAATTAAGAACCAGGCCAGCTGAACTTCGAAGCACACTGCCCTGCTGAGATAACCCTGTCTGGGACAGGAATGACTACTATGCTAATTCATTAATAATAACCTGCCTTTGAGTCTGAATGGCTGCGGTCCAGGGCCTCGTTCTCATACTCCCTGCTGTGACAGCCAAACGACGGATGCAGCGGACCCCACACTGGGGGCCCCGTGAGAGGAACAGGAAACAAAGTGCAAAAAGATTTATTCTGTCTTAACCCCTACTCTGCGGTCTGCCCACTGACCTCAAGCGTCCAGCAGCAGAAGGCTTTGTGTTGGATAAATCAATTGTACGTATTTCCTGTGAGTGTAAGGCAAATTTGTTTAGTAGAATAAGTGAGTACAAAACACAGAATTGACACTTCCACTGTAATTTAAGCAATTTTCTTAATATGTTAAATTATTATTTATTTTTTTATGCAATTTTTTTAATATATGTTTTTGTTTATTATTATTAAAAATATAAAGTTATTCTGTATTTTGTGTTGTTCCTGTAGTAGGCCTAACAAAATGAAATAAAAATAGAATTGAAAAAAAAAGTTTTCCATTTACCTTGCCAAACTCTTAAGACATATAGAATCAATAGACCAATTACAATGAATCATTATTTGCATTCAATTTAAACAGTAATAATGTTTACTTCTTGTAAAGATTGTTTCATCTTAACTGCTGTTTGGTAACCTTTCATAGATCCTAAGTAATGACATGAGAACAAATATTGACAGGCATATTGCATTATATAAGGCATCAAGATGTTTAATGCCAAACAGGATGAAGGATGCCAGACTTAATGTCAAACTTAATGACAGGAATGTCATTAAGAATTTACAATTTTATGAATGTCAGTATTTTAACTACAATTTATTATTATTACTACGACTAACACTAGCTGAAATAATATATCACTTGCCTAAGGTGGTTAGCTGGTCTCCTGAGCTGATCTGTTGGCTGGTTTTAAAGAGGTTTTGGCCAAATTTCTACTGGTCAGACTGGAAGACCAGCAAGAATATCTCAGACTGGCATAATGGTAATGTTCGTGTGTTTGTGTCTGTGTGGCCTGGTAAACCCTATATTATGGGGACAAAATGTCCCCAAACAAAGATGGCAATATTTGAAGTCTTTGTCCTTGTGGGGACATTTTTTAGTCCCCATGAGGAAAACAGCTTATAAATCATACTAATATGAAAATAATTATATGAAAATATAAAAATGCAGAAAGTTTTATGTGATGGGTACGTTTAGGGTTAGTGTAAGGGGCTAGAATATACAGTTTGTGCAGTATAATAAATCATTAAGTCTATGGAAAGTCCCCATATACCACATACAGTGTGTGTGTTTTCTCTAGAAAGATTTTTGTATGTGGGCTTTCAGAAATATAAGGGGATATTTAATAGATCTAACAGTTGATTGAAGCAAGTATTCAGTTTATTTGGTGCAAGTCGCTACATGTTATACAAATCATTAATTAAAAAAGAAATTGGCCAAAAATGGTTAGATATTTTTATGTTACCTTTATATGTTCTGTAAAAGAAAGAAAGAAAGAAAGAAAGAAAGGAAGAAAGAAAGAAAGAAAGACAGAAAGACAGAAAGAAAGACTTAAGCAGCTTAAACTGCTTTGCTAGTCCTAGCTGGTCTGTCAACTGCCTGCTGGTTTTTTGATGATCAGGCTGGAAGAGAGTTTAAACCAAGACCACTGTGGATGGATTTAATGGATTTAATTTTGATTAATAAGTTCATAATGTTCTATCTATTTCATTGTAGCTTCTCTTTGTGACAACTTAGTGTGACAACATGAATGGGAGAGGGGGGACAAATTGTGCAACTGTATAATAAAAACCTACCAAGTGGTAAAGTGAGGAAGAATGGCAACCAGCACAGCGTAAACATTCCAACCACAACCCCCAAGGTCTTAGCTGCTTTCTTTTCCCTGGAAAACTTCAGGAGTTTGACCGTGAGAGAATTCCTCGCCTGATGAGCGCGACTTCTGGCTGCAGTGCTGGTGTCCTCGTGCACCTGCGAACCCCTGTGAATCCTCAGCGTTATTTCACCCGAATTCATCGTTTCCGTCTTCACACCAGCTTCTAGATTCTTCGTCGTCCGTTTAGCCACTACGTAAACACGGCAGTACATGACTAGAATAACAATTAAGGGGATATAAAATGAGCCGAGCGATGAGAAGAGCGCGTAAAAGGGTTCCTCTGTTATTGCGCACACCGTGTGGTCCGGTGACGGAGGCTCCTTCCATCCTAGCAGGGGTCCGATAGAGATGACCAAAGACAGGACCCAAACTCCCAGCATGGCCAGCAAAGCTCTGGGTCCCGTCACGATGTTGGGGTATTGCAACGGATGGCTCACTCCGATGTAACGGTCAATGGATATTACGCACAGACTCATGATGGATGCTGTGCAACATAACACATCCACAGCGGCCCAAACATCACAGAAAATCCTCCCGAACACCCAGTAACCCAATAATTCCAAGGTGGCTGATACGGGTAACACGGTTGTGCCCAGGAGCAGGTCGGCAATAGCGAGATTTACGATGAAATAATTAGTTGGAGTTCGCAGGTGCCTATTGCACACAACTGACAGTATCACCAGGATGTTTCCAGCCACCGCGAAGATGATGAAAGTCCCCAATGCCAAGCCGAGCGGGACGGCACGGGACAGGAGTAGAGGCTCGAGTCCTGTGCCATTTAACTCGGAAGAGTTTGAAAACACCGGTGACTCTTGATACGCATCCAAAGAACCGATTCCCCAGGACAGTGTGACTTCATCTTCATTTTGTTGGTTCATTTTGGCGAAAAATGTTCTCCATTGCTGATACGTTGGTTAGCCGCTTGAGTCAGGTTCCTAATGAATGATTAGAACGTTGCGTGAGTTAGGCCTAATGAGCCATGTTTTCATTCTGATGCTCTCATGTAATGTGAAAATAAGTGTCTCTGTCTCAGGGGTAAGACTTTAATACCGCCCATCTCTGCTTCAGTCTCTCCGAACTGAATGTCGATTTTTTTTTTTTAAACGGGGGATGAGTGCTGAAGAGGCACATGCTCTAGCCATAGGAGGAACTGGAGAGTGTCTTAAACTTTTAAATAACATTTCCATATTTGTCTGCCTCAAATTACTTTAGAAAGACACCATATATCCAAATAATTGAAAAAGGGGAAAATGGGAAAGAAATAGATACAACCCCACAAACGTAACAGACAGATAATTAATTTTGTTTTTAAATCAAAAGGCCATTCTTTCAAAGTTATTGGTGATCACTGCAAACGAGAGGATCTGTTTTAATTGTTAAATATACATTCAAAAAATGCATTTATTTGAAGAAAGTTTTTACACACAATTTCAAAATAAACCAGTTTAGTTGGTTTGGGTCAAATTAATTTACTTTTACTTAATTCATTTGTAGTATGTTTAACTTAACATTATTACATTTGTTAAAATAAATTTTCTTATGTTGGTTCAACTAGATTTAAAAAAAATAATAATTTTGAATTAAGGTTTGAATTATTTAATTAAGCCAGGAAAGAAAAAAAATCAAGTTTTCAAGAACATTTTGTGAATCATGCAGTAAACTAGTGTGACATCACAGGTTTATTTCTGGCTTACACTTGTACCCAGACCAGACCACATAACAACCATGCCACTTTTGCTACACCAATTTGTCTCATGCAAAGACTTCATTAGCATGTCTCCTGTGGAGTCTGAAGATGAGCTCATTGGATTGGAGAGACATGAGGTTTTAATCTCAAGGTGCACCAGGAACTGGAGAGCTTTTTAGGTCCCAATCTTACTTTGTTTTACTATGACATTTGGCAGACATATTTTTTAAATCTGACTTCAAGTTATTGTACGCATCTTTATTAATTCCCTGTGAGTCGAACCCATGACCTTGGCGTTGCTAGCACTATGCTCTACTGCTTGAGCTATAGTTGTTGTGAATAGCTATAGTTGAGTCCGATACATAGACTGCCATAAATGGCATCTCTTTTATGATCCTAAACTATAGTTTCTTAATGTATTTATCTCTATAACTTTGCTAAGCAAAATGTGTCCATGCTTGTGTTTATATCTAAAGAAAGGTGTAGCCTATTACATATAAAAAATTTAAGCACAATAAGTAAAAAAAAAAAAAAAAAAAAAAAAAAAAACAGGCAGTATAAAAGTATTCAAAACACTGTCATGGAAGTCCACTGACTTGAGAACCCATGTGCAGCATTTATTAACAAAACTTGAACAAAATAAACAATGACTTGTACTTGACTGACAAGCAAAAAATAAACCTCACCAAACAGAAGTAAGAAAACATCATCAAAGCTAGACAGAGAACAATCTTCATCTTTTGTTTTAATGGCGATTGGCATCCAAGTATAAGGTGCATTACCGTCACTATACTGCAGTGTGGGCCGGAGTCAACTACCTCCCATGGGCGTCGGAGACCATTATGGGTGGGACAAGAACAACAAGACAATGATGTTGGACCCACTTACGTCTGTTCACTTTTTTACTCATGCTATAGCCAGACAAAGGTACGGTGGCCGAGAGAGCTCAACGCGCTGCAACTGAAGAAAACGCATGCAAATAGAAGAAAACACATGTAAATAGAAAACAACGCGTGCAAATAGAAAAAAAACACATGCAAATAAAATAAAACGCATGCAAATAGAAAAAAAACGCATGCAAATAGAAAAAAACGCGTGCAAAAAAAAAAAAACAACACCTGCAAATTAAGAAAACATCTTCATCAGTTTCACAACACACTTGTGCTCCAAATACTCACAACACCACCAAATACATAAACACGCTGCAAATAACACAGAGCACAACGGAAATGTTTCCAGGGGAACCAAATAAGTGACGAACCCGGCTGGGACGTGCCGGCATAGATATCCATAAATCTATGCGTGCTGGTGCTTACAGCTTAAAATTATACTTTATTTATTTGTTTATTTATTTATTTGTTTGTGCAAAACATACAGAGATTACATTTTTTATGACATACAACTTGTATACAATGTACAAAATGTATTAACAATATGTTCAATGTCATCAGAATACAAATGAGAAAAGAACAATGAGCTGGAAACTAAAATAAATAAATAAATAAAAAAGAAAAAGAAGAAAAACATTAAGGAAAGATATTTATCTATACATCAGTTACACTGTACAAATTGTCTCATGTTATTACATTTTCATAAAGAAAAGTTTCGTAAGAAATGTTAGGTAATGTAGGGTCCAAAATTTTAAAGTTGAGACACAGATATATAACGCATATTTTAAAAGCTTTTTTTGTAAACTAAAAATAAAAATGTATTTGCATCCGTTATGTTAACAGCATCATATTTCTGTGTTAAGACCAGCTGATGGACACCGTGCTGCGTTGTCATGGGAACATCCCACGTTGTCTTTAGTTGCTCCCTTCATCAAGTGCGTTCCACACGGCTGCCTAACAGCACACTAGAGCCTCGCTCACTCCAAAAGGGCTCTGCAATCTGCCCTTCGAAGGGAGTATGGCATAGGGAAGCTCACGAGCAATAAGCACGTCCCAGCCGGGTTCGTCACTTATTTGGTTCCCCTGGAAACATTTCCGTTGTGGTCTGTGTTATTTGCAGCGCGTTTTCTGTATTTGGTTGTGTTGTGAACTTTTGCAGCGCGTTTCCTTATTTGGAGCACACGTGTGTTGTGAAACTGATGAAGATGTTTTTTTTAATTTGCTGGTGTTTTTTTCTATTTGCACACGTGTTTTTCTATTTGCATGTGTTTTTTTCTATTTGCATGCGTTTTTTTCTATTTGCACACGTACATTTGCATGTGTTTGCTTCAGTTGCAGCGCGTTGAGCTGTCTCGGCCACCGTACAAAGGTGTCAAAACATGTTATAAAAACGGACACTTCCAGTTCTTGATTATTATTGGCTGAGCGGTGTTCGATGCCATTGTAATATAGCCTAGGGCCTAGGCCTACTTAACCACACAGTTGAGAGTCGTAAAATGAGACGTTGCGCAGCCAGCAAAGTTGCAGTGGAAAAAAAACTCACAGTTCGAGCGCCAAATACGCACGAAGACAGCGAGGATCAGCTTCAAGAGAGAGTGAGACAAAGAAATATATCATGTAGTTTATCACATCATACGAAGTTTAAAACATTTAAATAGACATCAAGTAGTAATTAATATATATGAATCTTAGTTGAGGCTATTAGAGCTGGTTTGTTTGCTGAGAGACGGAAATTAACGCGCTGTTTGATTTGTGATCGTGCTGTGCTTATTCCATTCATTCGAGTAGGCTATCATATTGTGCAAGGCTTAAATCATTTAAATATACATACAATAATATACAATATCATATCGTAGACCATGTATATGATGTAGCCTATTTGAGTTGATATTACTCTTGCCAAACTCTGGTTTCTGAGAGATGCAGGCATAGACGAATTTGCGCTCGTTTCATTTTTACTCTCACTCGTTCCCTTCACTCATTATTGCATAGAGATTTTAGATAAGGTATTTGGCTTCGAGAACACCCCTAATCTACTCCAGTAAAAAAAATTCTGGAGGATGATCCAGCCACATTTTTTTGCCTTCCGACGCCCATTACCTCCCAAATAGAATAGGAAAAAAAAAGTCCTTAAATTCTGTTAATTAATCCAGTTCTTTTCTTCTTCTTCTTCTTCTTGTAAGATTCCGGCAGTGTAGACGCTGCTGAGCGTATTACTGCCCTCCACAGGTCAAAGTTTGAACTAAAGTCTTACATACAGTCCAGTGTCATGCAGGAATTGAAGAACTGCCTTGGAGATCAGTTTATGCTCGTCACTGTGTCCAAACAAAGATAAAACAGAAAAAGCCCTAACACCAAGTCCTGACAATTTAATAAAAAGTACATTTCTTTCTGCCCTATACTTTCTGCATTCCAGGAAAACATGCCCTACTGTCTCAAGACTCCCACATTCACACAAGCCAGAAACATGCTTCCCTACAATGCACAAAGAATAATTTAACCCACAGTGTCCCAACCTCAATCTGCACATTTTAACTGAGTCCCTACGGGACAAAATGTTGCATGAACATCTTTTCCTAACTTCAGGTTGTATAGAAAAGTAGTGTCTACCCCTAGTTTCCTTTTCCCACCCTCTCTGCCATTCTCTTATTAAACTCTCTTTAATTCTTTCTCTCAATTCCACTCTCCCTAATAATACATGGACATCTACTTCTCTTCCTAAACTCTCCTTTGCAATGTTATCCACCCATTCATTCCCCCTCACCCCAGCATGCCCGGGAACCCAGCAAAAACTAATGCTGCAAATAAACCTAGTTCTAAAAACCACATTCAAGATGTCATTGACAATGTCAGGACGAGCTTTAGATTTTCCTACTTTTAAATTTTCTAGAGCACCTGCAGAATCAGAGCAGATAATGACTTCTCCAGGTTTGACTTCCTCAATCCACCATAGAGCCCATAAAATTGCCATTAATTCAGCAGTGAGGACAGAGCTTCCATTAGAAATACGCCGACCAATTTCCAACCCTAGCTGCTCCACATACACCCCAAATCCAGCTCTCCCACTAACTGGATCTCTAGATCCATCTGTAAAAACAATCATTGTGCTCCCACTAACTGAATTAAGATATTCCTCTACTTTTGGTGCCACTTCCCACTTATCTTTTCCCTGAAGAAAACCAAGCTCAATATTAATTTCAGGCAGCACCCAATATGGTATTGATAACCAACTTGTGTGCTCTACAATACCTCCCTGTTCCATGCTCATCTTCCCTGCCCACTGATTTACTATGACAAAAAATATATTATATCTATTAGCTCCAGCAACCTCTTGCAACAGACACCTTGCTGGAAAGGTATGATTACACCCACTAAGTTTT